CGGGAGCAACGCCGAGGGTTGCAATCCTGTTGCCGGTCCCGGTCCGGTACGGAGGCGACAGTGAGGGTTGCGATCCTGTTGCCGGTCCCGGTCCGGTACGGGGGCGACACTGAGGGTTGCGATCCGTTGCCGGACACGGAAAAAAAAAAAAAAAAAAAAAAAAAAAAAGATTAGCAACCTTCACATTTAGGCTTGGCATTTGGGTCTGGTCAACAATAGATCTTATTACAATATTGACTACAGATCATTTGGAAAATATTCTCTGAACTTTTACCTGGGTATACCCAAGAAAATCAGTATTCTTTTTTTCTCCTCTGTAGCTGCATCAGCAATTGGAAAACCAATTTTGAAGGTCATCTTTTTGGATTTGCATGAAGCCGACCAGAGTTTTCAGAAACATGCTGATTACCTTGCAGTCTTGGGAAAATTTTATATAGTTTCTTTAGTTCAGCCAACTCAGTGTTCTCTAATTTTTAAATAAGTTCTGCAGACAAGTACATCAGTAGAGGACTTCTGCCACATCTCTCTCTCTTTTTTTTTTTTTTTTTGACTGGTAAGGGGATCGCAACCCTTGGCGATCAGTCAGTGAGCGCACCGGCCATCCCTATATAGGATCCGAACCCGTGGCCTCAGCGCTATCAGCACCACTCTCTCCTGAGTGAGCCACGGGGCTGGCCCCACATCTTTCTTTTATCTCATTTGTATGAGTGCACCACCATTTCAAGAGCAATAGGATCTCTTGGTGCACTAGATGCATTCCTGTTGGCATTATCTTGATTCTTCTTCTTGAAACAGGGTTTTTCTTTTCTTTTGTTTTTTTGTTTTTTAAGATATCTGCCACTGCTTCCTCCATGTCAGAGCTGGTGTTCAGTATACTCATGGCCCTGATCAAGGACAACAGTCTGCCTGATTGGCTTATTTCATATTCTGGACTGAGGGGCTGAGTAGACAGGATCTATGCCTTGTTGCTTTCATAGCTAGCTTCCCAGCTGTACTTTCTGTACTCCTGTCTCAACTCAACCATGGAAGACAGCAACTTCTGTCTATGGACCGGCTTTTCTTTTACAATCCTGGCTTCATCTTATCTGGGCTCTCCTTGTGTTGTAGCTCACTTAACTAGGGTTTGAATGCCAGAACTCTCATGGAGGGGCTCTTATGATCAGGACTCTTCTGGAAGAACCAGGCCACAGCTGCCAAGTGGCTGAGACACTATTTTTGTTTGCATTCTTTGTCTAGGAGCTGTCTTGGTATTTCCTTTGCTAGAAGGCAGTGTTGAAAGCTTTGATCCTGTGTGATCTGGGGATAGGAACCTGGATTTCAGCACCTGTTCATAAGTGCTCACTCAACATGGACTGCTTATGGTGTGATAAATGCCCAGACGCCAGTAACAGCCCTCACACCATGGTCCCTTTGGGAATGCTGCAGGATTCTGGAAAGGAGCTGGTTCTTCTGCTGTCTGTTGACACTCTGTCAGCTTTAGTTGATGTGTTTGCTATAGAGCACTTGGAAGAAAAAGGGCAATTGAGGCTTTCTGGTGGATTGGATGAGGGCCTGCTTGTCTGATAGAGGAAGAGATGCTACACCTCCAGGATTCTGTAAGATTAAAGACTTTTTTTTTTTTTCCTTTTTGTCTTTTTTTTACTGACCGGTAACGGGATCGCAACCCTTGGTGTCGCACCCGCACCGGGGACCGGCAACGGGATTGCAACCCTCGGTGTTGCGCCCGCACCACGCTCAGCCAGTGAACGGGAACCGGTCTCCACATGGGATCCGAACCCTCGGCGGGAGCGCCACCGCGCTCCCAAGTGACGCACTCTCCATTGCGCCACCGGGCCGGCCCTGTAAGATTAAAGACTTTTGTCTCAGCCTCACCAGAAAAGTGATTTCTAACTACATCCCCCCATTTTTTTGCCTTCACCTCAGTATCATAAATACCCATGTTTTTCAAATGACTGATTCTATTCTTGTAGCAACAAGTTAAGGATTCAAATGAATACCTCCTCACAGGAATCAATTTTGATGTACAGTTCCTTGTTATTAAAGGTGTGAGTCTGGGGACTTGAGTATGCCTGGATGGTGAATCAGGTTTCTGAAAATCCAGAAATTCCTATAAATTCTGTACTTATTCAGGGACAATATTAAAGAGTGTAGGTACAATGGCTTCAGTACCACGATCAAATATAATTCTCCAAACAGTTAAAAGATGAGCCAGCTATAACAGTGCAACTTCTTTATTACCTGAGATCTGAAAGTTTAAGCAGTCCATCCAGCAAGTGGAAGTGTTGGAAAATGCAGTCAAACTCTGTAGTTCCAGCAACAAGCAGTGATCAAATTTTTGTGAGTGCCTTGACACACACTAGTCACAGTCATGTTTTAAATTTTCTTCAAGTTCTTGACTAGAATGGATCCAAAGAAAAGGTATATTTGTAAAAGCATTTGTAATATCACTTTGTCAACTGCTCTAGCACTTCCCTCCTTAGGTGTGCCTCTAGCCTTCAGGCTGCCTGAATGAGGCCTCCTTGTGCTGTTGACAGGATTTCCAGGTATTTTTCAGGATTTCCAGGAATATTGAAGGTTGAAGTAGCAGATAACAGCATATTTTTATGCACTGATTATTCATATCAAAATTTTAATTTTTGTAGACATTGAAAATCATACTGCCCAAATTTTGCATTTGGCAAGTGTGGTATTCCAACAAGAGAATTTCTTCTCCTGTAAAGTCCACCCTTCTTTTCTTTCCCCCATGTCTGTAAGTCTTCATTATTGCCAATTTTGCAGGATATCTCACCTGACTATTGGAATTGCCAAAAGGGATATACAAAAAATACCAGCTTTCTTAGAGCTAATGTCTTAGTCCCAAAGGTTTTTAGGGTTTCAGTAAGACACAGTAGCCATTGTTCCCAGATGGACATTGGTGATGACCTGCGATCCCTTAGATTTCACGTCACATTCTTCACTTCATCTTGAACCTTGTTTCTCATTCTGTCTACTGAAGCTAAAATAACCATTGTGATTTAGGACTTTACATTGTGCTGATAAACTGTTCACAAAGGCATTTACAATTTCTAATCCAATTAGTGACAACTGGTAGTTGCTGATGCTGCAGTGGCTCAGCTCTTTACTGCAGGTCCAGGCTCACACCAGGAGTGCTAAGGCTGTACAGCAATTCTTGGCACCCAGGAGCCAGCTACCCATGTCCTGCTGCCTCACTTGGATACAAAGTACCACTGGGGGAGGGGGACCACTGCATATGTTTGCCTCACTCAGCCCGTCCAGGGACAGCTGCTGGAGCACGGTGGCAGGAGCAGTGCCAGGTACTGAGTATCTCCAACACTAGTGTTAAAAAAAAAAAAAAATCCCAGTCTTTGGTTTGTTGTTGGCTTTCCTCTGGATTACCTTCTCATTACCTTCCAAACAAACAGGACGCAGGCCAGGGTCTGCCTCAAGAAGGGTCCCTCTTCAGTATCCCTGAAGGGCTGGGGGTTCCCTACAGTGGCCATCTGCAGTTTGCCATCTTGTTTTGTTTGGGAAACCACATTTGTGCTACAACCTTAGTCTTGGACACAGCTGGAGATATGTGTGCAGTATTTTATCTGCTTGTGTTGGCAGGGCATGGTTATCCTGCACTTTAGAGAGGCTGCTCTTGGGGTTTCTGGTTATTTTCAGGCCTGGGGAGATGGTATCCCTGGAGATACGGGCTGCTACAGTGCTCTTCATAGTGCTGACAAGGTCCTATGCTGTTATTTTCCACCAGGTTGCTAATTATGGAATGGGAGGACAGTATGAGCCGCACTTCGATTTCTCTAGGGTAAGACCCAAATCACAGGTGCTTTCAGAGGGCCCTGCTCCAGCTGGTTTGAGAAGGCTGATGTTTCCAGGAGCAATTCAGCCTCCACACTAGTGCCCGCCCTCATCCTGCCTCACCAGGAAAAACTCTTTGTGATTGGTTAAGCTCAAATCTGGAACCATGGAGCCTGTGGAGCCCAGTGAACCTGGCTGTTTCCCCTACAGTGTGGGGAGTGTTTCCCCTGCCCACTCACCAGGAGAAACTCTTTGTGATTGGTTAAGCTCAAATCTGGAACCATGGGGCCTGTGGAGCCCAGTGAACCTGGCTGTTTCCCCTACAGTGTGGGGAGTGTTTCCCCTGCCCTAACCCTATTATTCTGCCCAGATTCTAAAGCAAAGGACCTCAGTAGGTCTTTGTGAAAATTGTTCTTGTCCCTTTTCCACTCTCCCCCCACTGCCCCCCCCACCCCCCATGTCCTGGCCAGAGTTTTCTTTGCAGCCTTGGCCCATGTTCCAGGCTGATATGTGGAACACATGCTTATTAGCTTCCCCTCACCCTTTTGGCTCCAGTCCTGTGGGCGGTGGGTGAACTTAGTTGCATACTTGGGTGAAAGTTGTTATTTGTTGCAGCGACCTTTTGACAGCGGCCTCAAAACAGAGGGGAATAGGTTAGCGACGTTTCTTAACTACGTAAGTATCAGGTGCAGGCATACCTGTTCATTCTCACTTAATTTTATAGAACGGTGAGCGAGATGTTTTCAAGCATTTAGGGACTGGAAATCGTGTGGCTACATTCTTAAACTATGTGAGTATGATGTGTGTAGCTTATGGCCCCTAAGGGGACCCTGGGTCCAAAGGTCTGTCTTACATTCTACCCCCAACACTGCTTATAACACCAGCCGTTGGTTAACGGCTAGGTTCTTCTAGCCCTCAGCATCCTTCTTGGCTAGAGAAGAGAGAGTTGGCCTTTGTTCCCATCCTGTGGCCCCCCCTCTAACTCCTGCCAGGACTTTCACATCCCTGGCTGCTTTTTTTTAAAAATTGTGGTAAAACACACATAAAAAATTTACCATCTTAACCACTTTTAAGTGTATAGTTCAGTAGTATTTATTTAGTACATTCATAATGTGCAACCATTATCACCATCCATCTGCATAAGTTTCATCTTATAAAACAAACTCTATATCCATTAAACTGTAACTCCCCATTATCCTTCTCCCCAGCCTGGAAACAACCGTTCTGCTTTCTGTCTCTGTGATTTTGGTTATTCAGGTAGTGTCATATAAATGGAATTATAGAGTTTTTGTCTTTTTGTGGCTGGCTTATTTCACTTAGCATGATGTCCTAAGGGTTCAACCATATTGTATCATATTCTGGCTCCTTTTTGATGGGCCCAGTGCTAGTCTGAACTTCTGGGATGAGTGCCTTGGAGGGTTCCCTCCTTGGTAAGACAGTAAGGAGGTATCCATAAGGTGTTCATAGGTGAAAGCTGCCTTTGTTTCCCCAGAGGCTGGGTGGTCTGCTTTCCACCTGCTCCCTCCACTGTACTCATAGGCTATTGGGTTTACCTTTCACACGAGGAACAGTTTCTTCTTCCCTCTGCTGAGAGAGCCAGTTCTAAAGAGGCATAGAGGCTGTCAGGTAACTTAGAGACAGAAGCCCATGTTCATTTTTTCCTTTTAAGTTTTTATTGTATGGTTATTGCATGCTGGGGACTATGCCATGGACATGCTGGTGAGCAGGGCATATGTGATCTCTCTTCTGGCCCTTGAGGTCTGATATGGGAGACTTACTTTAAACATAAGAGAAATCAGTATTTAGTTACCGTGCAGACAAGTGCTGTGAAGGAATAGCCTAGGCTTGGGGTTCGGAGAAGGCCTCCCTTGGGAAGTAACATGTCAGTTGAGACTTGAAGGTTGAATGGAAATTAGCTGGCGGAACATAGTTTTTGGCAGAGGAGAAAGTGAGTAGGCCTGAAAGAGAAAAGGAGCTTGGGATGTAGGAAAAATGGAAGACGGCTGGTGTGTCTGGAGGAGAGACTGACAGGCCTTTGGGGTTCTAGAAAAGAGTCTGAGTTGATCCCCAGTGCTGTGGAAAGCCATCAGGGTTTTCTTCATATTCAGTTACCATATGTTTGTTGAGTGCCCTTCAGTCAGTCTGGTATGTGTCCTGTGGAAAATACTTTTTAGCTCCAATTTTTATTACATTATAGGCAAAAAACTTGAAGTAAGAGCGCTAGATGAGAAAGAAATAGTGCTTTGGGCATGAGTCAAGGTGTGCTCTGCAGGCATGAGTGCAGTCTTGCCACTGTGACTTGTGTTCAGTCTAGTTTTGAGGCCTCACCATGGGAAAAAGCAGGGGCTCTAGAGGTATTGTGTCCCACCTGCCCACCCAGATGGCCCTAGAGAGGGCAGCTCTTATGAAAAGGTGAGGGTCTGACTAGAGCAAGCTACTAGAGCCAGAGAAAAGCCCACAGTGGGGGCACATGTCATGTTGGAAGCAGCAAGGAACTCCTGGTCAGGGAAGCTCACTGGGCACAGTGGCTTAGGCAAGGCCCAGGCTGGATGGGGATTGGGACAGGCATATTCTGAGTACAGACTCAGATTGTTCCCATCTGAGGACAGCCCAGATGCAGGTCTTCTGGGGGCATTAGCTCTTGAAGAGCCCATGGCAAGGACACTGTCCTGATGAATAACACAGATTAAGTAGGGCATGGGAAGAGCCTGTCTTGGCAGAAGGGCTGGCCTCCAAGCAGTACCACTCATGCTCAGAGGAGGGTAATCCAAACACCTTCTTGTGTCCTTTGTGGCTTACTTGCTCTGAGAGCCTTGAGTAGAAGGGCCAACTGTATGCCTTATATTCCCAGATGAGCGATGTAGAAGCTGGAGGTGCCACTGTCTTCCCTGATCTGGGGGCTGCAATTTTGCCTAAGAAGGTAAGTTCTGATTCTTGTGGGTCAGAGGTTGAAGCAGGGCTCAGACCTTGTCCATGTTCCCCAGTCTTGTTCCCTGGCCTGCTTGACTGTCGCTGTGATGTGCCTTAGCCTTTTCCAGCCTGGACTCTGACTTTGTGGCCCCAGCTTCTACCTGGGGAGAAGGGACAGGAGGGAAGTCCCTTCAGGGGCAGATGGGTTTCTAAACTTTCACACCATCATGAAGGGTAGGTGCTTTCTGGGAAACCTCTTTATCACTAGAATCCCAGAGTCCTGTTCCCCCAAACACAGGAAAGCATGCTTCTGCCCAGGGTGGGGATTCTGTGGTGCTCAGGGTCAGGTCCGTGAGCCCAGTTTCTAAGGATGTGTTCAGACAGGCCATCTCTTTCCCAGGGCACAGCTGTATTCTGGTACAACCTCCTACGGAGTGGGGAAGGTGACTACCGGACGAGACATGCTGCCTGTCCTGTGCTTGTGGGCTGCAAGTGGGGTGAGTGGCTTAAGGAGTGGTGTTGGCCTTGGTGGCCTCAGCCTGGGCTTTGATGGGATGGTCTGCCTTAGACTCTGACTGGGAGACAGCCACTGTCATAATTTGCACAAAGCCGAGACTGTCTTGCTTCTGAGATTTTTTTCCTGCTAATTGGTAGTACCATCCAGCCATGTAGCTGTTCAATCAGCTGGTTATATGTACCAAGGCAGCTGATTGGGAACACTCAGAGATGCCCAGAGATCTAAGGATTCCCTGAGGGAGAACAGCTGCATAAGTACCAGAAATTCAGGATGGCTCTCCAGAGGATGGGCTCTGGCAAGGGTTCTGAGGGAGCAGAAAGGAGAACTGGAAGCAGAGAGGGGAAAGGGCATCTTAGGCAAGCAAGCCCCACATGGAACAAGGCACAGGCTAAAACCAGCAGCATAGGTGCGAGGGCTGGCTGCCTTTGTCACTTGAAGAAGGGAAGGCCTGTGGCACAGGGGCCAAGAGGGGAGGCTGGAGGCTGGGACCAAGCCCCAGAGGCTGAAGCATGAGCCTTATTGTGGGAGCAGCTGTGATGAGCCATGGAGAGGCTTGAACCAGAATGTGACAGGAAGTGATCACAAAGAGATGAGTTTGTTGTTTTCTTGGAGAGTTTCAGGGATAAATAGTTATAAGTTCACAAAAAATTAAGCGAATGAAGAAGAAAATGAGGCAGTTGCTGACTTCAGGGAAAAAAGTTGTACAAGAAAGGAAATGTAAGTATAATCTACGTGGCTCAGGTGTGAGCAACATTTACGTGATATAATAATGTAAACACTGAATATTAATTTAAACTTGTAATTTAACTATATTGGGAAGATAGGAGGGGATAAATATGTGTTTTAAAGTTAGAATAAAAGAATTCCGAAATTGAAAGTCAAGAAATAGCATTATAAGCATGTTATTTAGAAGAATGAGGTTAAATATCATAAGAAACAACTAAAGGAGATGAATGTCCTGTGGGAGTGGGGATTGGGGCTGGGAAGGAGTGTTTTAGGAGATCGCTGTTTATCATTATAAGCCTTGTAGACAATTTGATTTTTTAATTACATGTATTACTTTAAGTTAAATTGTATTTGAAAAGTTCTATGACTTCAGTAGTGCATTAAAATAAATGTTTTATTTATTATGAGAGAGTCTGTGTTTGAGAACAGAATCACAGTTCCTGTGTGTTTGAGACATGGCCTTAGGTGACAGACAGTGCTGGTGCCAGCTCTGCTGCTCTGGTGCCCACGCACACAGATGGGATCTGCTGGCCCACAGCACATGAGTTTGACATCGAAGCTCTCCACAGTGCTGATAGACTTCCTCATGCTCATCCCCTACCACTCAGTTCTCACCTGCCGCCTCCCAGTGATGTCAGGCTTCTTGAAGTTCTTAATACACACCAGGGCAGTTTCTGCCTTGATGACTTTCTTATCCTCTTCCCACTGCCTGGGACCCCCTTGGTGTGGGAACCGTTTTGGTATGTCCATCTTCTTCCCAGAACAACTCCTGTTCAGTTTCATATTCCATCTTTGGGGTCTCCTCTTCCTTCACGTGGTTAGATTCCCGTTGGCCCCATTCCCGTATACATGCAGATATGTATCTTGTGACACTGGCAGAATTTTTTACAATTTTTAGCTGTTTATGCATGTGTCTTCCTCAACAGCTCATGATCAAATTGAGACCTAAAACCATGTCTTACTTGTGTCTGATTCCCAGGGCACATACAGAGGTCATCATAAAGGAGTTATTAATTTTGGCTGCCGAACTGACCAATATGATTATAACATAACCTGCTTTCTGTTCACAGTCTCCAATAAGTGGTTCCATGAACGAGGACAGGAATTCTTGAGGCCTTGTGGATCAACGGAAGTTGACTGATGTCCTTTTCTGCCCCTCCCCTTCCTGGTCCCACAGCCCATGTCACCTTCAAGTTCAGCATGACAGACTCCTTTGAATGTTCCAGCTCCTATCAGGTCTTTGGAGGAGTGAATGTGTAGAGCGGAGGGAGAGTGTACTGGGGCAGGTCCTGTGTGACCTGGGTCCTAGTCTCTCTGGCCCCAAGGGTAGGTTCAGAGTGGCTGTAGCAGTTGGGCTGTCTAACGTGAAGCAAGATGCCTTTGTACCTCAGATGTTTTAGGTGTGAGATATTTCAATGAACCAAAGTTTTGATGCCTTGTTTACATGTTTGTTTTATGGCATTTCTATCAATTGTGGCTCTAACCAAAAAATAAAATGTCCCTGCCAGAAGCCTTAAAGAGACTTATTTGGAGTATTTTTTAAGAATGGGGAGCTTTCACCAAGTTTGCCATTTCCTTTGCATTGCTTCTGTGCAGGCAGAGTCTAGGTGGTGAATGTTTCAGTGACAAAACCCTGGCCTTGGGTTCTAGACCTGGTTTTAACACTTGTGTCTTCTCCAAGCTTTGGTGTCCTTTTCTGGAATGTGTGGGGTAAATACAGAGAACATGGAGAGCATGTATGTTGATGATTGTGATGCTGTTATAATTTGAAATTTATTTTAATATTTTGAGATACACAGAATTGTTCATGATAAATAGATGTATACTTTAAAGAATATGAAGGTGAGCGGGAGCACCTGTTTTACCACCTCCCAGGTTAGAGAAAAGAACATTTGACTAGACAATTGATCACCATAGTCTAGCCAAGTTGATACACAAAATTAACTGTCACATGCCCTTTCTTTTCCCAACTTGTTTGAACATTGTTTTAGTATCCATGATAAATTGCTTCTAAAAGTTGAAAACCCCAGTGCTATGTTTCTTAATTTAGTTGAACTTATAGTCATTATGTCAATGTAGCTGATCATAAAAAAGAAATCTTTGTCTTATTTGTCTAATAAAATTTGAAACAAGTTTATAATGTGTATTAGTTTGCTACAACTGCCATAAAAAAATACCATAGACTGTTAAACAATAGAAATTTATTTTCTTACAGTTGTGGAGGCTGAAAGTCCAAGATCAATCTAATAAAATTTGAAACAAGTTTATAATGTGTATTAGTTTGCTACAACTGCCATAAAAAAATACCACAGACTGTTAAACAATAGAAATTTATTTTCTTACAGTTGTGGAGGCTGAAAGTCCAAGATCAAGGTGTTAGCAGGTTGGGTTTCTTCTGAGGCCTCTCTCCTTGGCCTGCAGATGGTCACCCTTTGGTCTATGTGAGGTGTTAGCAGGTTGGGTTTCTTCTGAGGCCTCTCTCCTTGGCCTGCAGATGGTCACCCTTTGGTCTATGTGTTGTCTGTGTCCTAATCACCTAGTATAAGGACAGCAGTCATATTGGATTAAGGCCCACCCATATGACCTCATTTGACTTGAATTATATCTTTAAGCCCCGTCTCCAAATACAGTCACATATTGGGTTAGGACTTTAACATGTGAATTTTGGGGGAACACATAATGCTACTGGGAAATCATGTTAGAGCTGAAGAATAAAAGAAGCAAAATCCTTGTCCTTAATCTTTGTATGTCAGATATTGCCCATCTTGAACAAATGTATCAGATTATTAAGTATTTGCAGAAGAATAATATATTACTAGAAGAAAGTTTTATTTATTTTTTATTGAAATGAGATTTTAAAAAGGGAAATGGTCTATCTTATGAAATTAATAAATTGGAAGAAGATGATATTGACACAAAATATCTTTGAGGCCATGGATATGATAATGGAACAAATATAGCAGATGTGTATATAAAGGTGTAATAGCCATTATTCTACCCCTAAAATGATCAAGCCAAATAAATTCATGATTTTTAATGTGCAAAAATGTCGCTTCTATGAATTCAAATACAACCTTTTCAGTATTGAATAAAGGATATATAATTTTTTGTGAATTCAGTGAGCAGATAGAATATTCTGTTTGTTTAAAAACTACATTAAAAACACATCCTGAGAGGCATGAAAATCAAGTACAATTAAGGCACTTCACACACATTAAAGATGTTTGTCAACTATTAAAAGATATAACATCAACTGACAAAATATGATATCCTGAAATAGTAAACATCTTGATGCAAACAGGTTACAAATTTTTATGCAACTTATTTGTGTGGGATATTTTGAACTAAGTAGAAAAGGTTAAAGATTTACAGTGAAAAAAACATGACTATGCAAAGCTGCTTGCTTAATAAAAAGCCTATTTGCTTATAAAAAATGAGAGAAAGTAACTCTTAAAGTATGTTTGATTAATGTAAAACTTTAGCAAGAGATATGAATATATGAACTATGAAAAGAAATTGAAATGTACAAATCACTGGATGAGTATTACCAATTATTGTGAGAAAAGTATTTATTAAATAGAACTTAAAGAAAAGGCAGGCTGGTTAGCTCAACTGGGTAGAGCACAGTGTTGCAACAGCAAGGTCAAGGGTTCAGATCCCCATACAGGCCAACTGCCAAAAAAAAATGATGTCTTGGAGATATGAAAAATCAAATGAAGTTTTTTCAGATTTTGAATTTTTACTTAGAGAGAAATTATTCTCTATGAATACATCTAAGTTACAAAAAGCAACCACTGACTTGCCTCTTATAGTCCAGTGATTTGAATCCTGTGGAAATTTTATCTGAAGTAGTGTTAAGTAGCATGCACTGTCAATAATTCATAATATAAAATCCACATCATGTTTGGATCCTCTAAAACTGATTCATGAATTTTTCTTAGTGTGGTCTTATCCAAATTTGGAATTAGTCTTGAGAATTGTTTTTAAACAATACCAGTCACAATGGCACCCTAAATAAGTTTCAGTTAACCGAAGTTAATTAAAATTTAAAATGTTCACTTTGTCAAGAGTAGATTCTGAAAATTTTATTGATGAGTTTGCTTCTGTTAAAGCCATTGATATAAATAAAATTTTTAAACTTACTGTGAATTTTAATATACCAACTTTCAATTTTTTAATATTTTCAACTAATTTAATGTTTTTAGAAAACTAATCACTAAAAAATACACAAAAACATGTATGTAAAGGACACATGGTTTTCCTTTTGCCTCAGGCTCCGATATAGCTTGGCATAGTGCTGGTCTTAAGTTTCCAGACTTGGCACCTGAACTCCAACATTAGGGTTGGCAGATTTAAGAAAATACAGGACACGCAGTTAAACTTTAATTTCAGATAAACAATGAAAAGTTTTGCATGAGATAACATTCATACCAAAAACTTATTTGTTGTTTATCCAAAATTCAAATCTAACTAGGCATCCTGTATATTATATGGCAATCTTAAACATAATTATCCTCCATGTTTGAAAAAGCTGCCTGTTTCTTGGTGCAATTTTACTGTTGCACCTACATCGCTTTGCCCCTTGGGCTGCTTCTTGTGCAGTGATGTCTGGGGCTCACATGTAGGGGCATCCTGTATATTATATGGCAATCTTAAACATAATTATCCTCCATGTTTGAAAAAGCTGCCTGTTTCTTGGTGCAATTTTACTGTTGCGCCTACATCGCTTTGCCCCTTGGGCTGCTTCTTGTGCAGTGATGTCTGGGGCTCACATGTAGGCAATTACGTGGCTCTGTGTTACACTGGCCATCCTGTAGGTATAGTGTCCAATCCATGCCAGATCTGGGAGACCATGGCGGCCTCAGCACCTCAGAGGGAAAGAAGGGGAGGGCAAAAGAGAGAGCATGTTCCTCTCCCACCACCCTCTCCCCAGCTGCCTCTGCTTCAGCCACACTGGCCTCCTCAGCGCCTTTGTGCTTGTTGGTCCCTGTGCCTGGAATGCTCTTCCCCCAGGTAGTCAGTTTCCATCCTCCTTTCCTACACTGATTAAAGATCACCTTATCTGAGAGGTCTTTAATGACTATTTACTGTGAAGGATTTGCTCCCTCATTCCCTTCTTCCTTACCCTGCTTTTTAAATTTTTTTATAGCACTTATCACCACCCATGAAATATTTTAATTTGCATATTAGTTTATGGTCAGTCCCTCCTAACTGGTATGGAAGCTCTTTGAGTGAAGGAATTTTGTTTTTTCACCTATCTCTAGTGTCCTAAAAGATGTTTGGCAAGCACCATGCAGCCACTTGCCCAATAGTCACTGAAGCTGGCATTCAAGAGGGAGCTCAGTACCCAATGGTGGACCTGTGGCCGGCCTCAGGACAGAGTGGAGCTTTGAGGCCGGAGAGGTGGGGCTAGAGGTTTGTAGAAAGGCCTTTGACCTGTGTCATATGTTCCCAGAGGTGAGGTGGTGGGAAGAATGGCTGGAACGGTGGACTGTACGGATACCAGATGGCTGTGACCGACTGAGGCTGCAGCTTTGGCTGCTCTGGCTTATGCGGCTCTGTCCTATGAGGCCGGTCTCTCCCCAAGGCTGAGTCAGAGGCAGGTGGAGTAGAGGATGTGCCTGAAGGAGGGGCCTGGGGGTGTCCAGTGATGTCTTAGACATCATGTCCAAGGCCTACGCTGCGTTCAAGAGGTTTATTTAACTTTTGTGAAGATTCTTTATTCTTCTAAACTTGAGGAAAACAATTTTTTTGTAAAGCATTTGGGGTTAAGAGAAGGTAAGTGGTAGGCGATGGCCGTGGGTCTTTGGCAAGCTCTAAAGTTTTATGTTTTCAAGGCATTTTTCAGTGTCTTTCTGAAAGTGCATTTATAATGTGGAGAATCAGCAAACCCCAGGTCTGTTTTCCCTGATCTTACCCTCTGAAAAGTCAGTCTCTTTCTCTTCACGAATTTGCAACCAACAGAATCTCACAAAAGTAATAATGAAAACCCCTCTTGTTCTCTGTGGGTTCACAGCTGTCATCTTGTCTGCTTTCTGGATTTCAAGAAGCTTAAAGCAAGCTACTTAAAACTCTTTCTCTTCACGAATTTGCAACCAACAGAATCTCACAAAAGTAATAATGAAAACCCCTCTTGTTCTCTGTGGGCTCACAGCTGTCATCTTGTCTGCTTTCTGGATTTCAAGAAGCTTAAAGCAAGCTACTTAAAACCATCTGCTATATTTACTGTCCTCTCACCTCCCATTCTTCATTTTTGACACAGCAAGTTTACCCAGCTAATTTCCTGAAATCGTTTGGTGAAGTGTTCTGGGTCCTCCTAGTGGCCAAACCCACTAGACAATTCTGGTAGTTTTTTTCTTCATTGAAGCGCTTCTCCATTCTCAGTTCTTTTATTCGCAGCCTCCCCTGCTGGCTACCCTTCTCCTATATATGTTATCTAGTCTAGTTCCTGTTTCCTTTTCACAATAGTTTTCTGCAGGGAGAAGGATTTTTACTCACGCTGCTTTAACAACCATTTATATGCTCTTGATTTATTAAATGGTCTTTTCCCACTCAAATCTTTCTCCTGGACTCTGTTCTAGATCCTATATCCAGCTTGCTAGTGCACATCTACCTGGACCAACATCTAGAATGGGTCTCACAAATTGTTCAATGAATGATCACAGATAGGACCTGATGTAGAAAAAAATACAGTGACTGTTAACCTTTTGGGGTGACAGAACTTGAGAGTCTAATGAAATTTGAGGGACTTTTTCTAAAAAAAGTGCATACTACTTTTTGCCTATAGTTTCAGAGCTTTTATAGTTCAAGAACTCAGGTCTTGGATTAGAGCTTCCTGAAATGATAGTGATAAAGTGTAATAGTGTGTTTTCATAGATACACATCAGATTTAGAACCTTGCAATGATAATACATTATATTCCAGCCTTCACTGAATGTTAACCTTAATCCATCAGGCTGATTATGGAAACTTTGTCTTTAAAAGTAGCACTGTATAATGAAAAGTCTGGAGCCCTAAAAGGAGAGCTTCTGATTGACTGAGTTGCATGTTTCACAATCCAAGTGGGATCTGCTTTAGCCTGGTCAGAGACCAAGGGCTGCTTCAGACCTTTCAAGAAGTGCTTGCTAGTGAGAGT